CCAATAACAGGATGAAGCAGATCGAGCATGTTGGGAGGAGAGAAGAGGAGTTTGAAGTGGGTAATTGGGTATTGATGAGATTGCATACTTACCGGTAGGCTTCGGTATTCCGACGTGCATACTAGAAGCTGGTCGCGAGGTACTTCGGCCCCTATGAGCTTCTGCAGAAAGTCAACCTGGTGGCTTATAAATTGCAGTTTTCGGCGGAGTCTCGCATTCATCCGACATTCCACGTATCCTTGCTAAAGAGATACAGAGGTTCTGCAGATAGAGTGGAGACCACTGCTCCTCTTGTGACTACTGATAGTGATCCCGAGTTGGTACCCTTGAAGGTGTGAGATACGCGATGGACGAAGAGGGGTGGTCGATTGATCGAGGAGAGCTTGGTGCTTTGGCGACATGTGAGCTGGAGGACGCCACCTGGGAGGAGATGAATGCCTTGCAACATTGGTACCCGACCTTCGACCATAGGGAAAGGTCAATTCTGAAGAGGGGTTGGCCGAGTGGGGAATGGCAGGAGTGTCATTTATGTTATTTCAGTATTATTTTGCATTGTTATTTAAGAGTGGAGAACCATACTTTTCATATTAGTGAATGATCAATTAATTAATGGGTTAATATTTTCGTATGGCCTGAACTTTGTCCAAAATAAACATCCTGACCAATCTTTTCGATCTATAACATCCTGGCCCGAACTATACACCAAAATAAACAATTTGGCCAGATCCGACTTTTGACCATTAACTTGGACGGTCAAACGCGTTGACCGTTAGTCAACGCGCCATATCACTGCCAAGTCAGCATAAAATATTTAAAATAATTCACAATTTCACACATTTCCTAATTTTAAATTATTATAAATTAAAAAAAATCATCTAATACCTTAGTTAAACCAAAAATAAAAAAAAATTAAATATTTATCATATCTTCTGACTTGGCAGTGAAGTGGTAGTGACATGGCACGTTGACCGTTAGTCAACGCGTTTGACCGTCCAAGTTAACAGTCAAACATCGGGTTTGGCCAAATTGTTTATTTTGGTGTATAGTTTGGGCCAGGATGTTATAGATCGAAAAGATTGGTCAGGATGTTTATTTTGGTCAAAGTTCAGGCCATACAAAAATATTAACCCTTAATTAATCTCAATCCCTAAATTCTTCTCTCTCTTTTTCTTCCCCCAATCTCTTACCAATCCCTAATTCCCTTGTGGTGGTCTCCAGGAAATGAGTCGTCTATTGCGGTATATTTGTTCGCTAAAAACATTCTTCTCCTTTTCAAAGGCTCACACGATCTGTTGCTGCAAATGAGTAGCCTTGAGTTGGACTTTTGTCACTTCCTCTGGGTTGGTTTCAAATACGAGTTGGTTCTATGCTTCCAAAGAAACCAACAGACCTACTACAAACAACGATAATTTTACAACGTAGCTGCGCCCTACCAAGTAGTGCCATAGCCATTTCTCCATGTTCTTCTGGAAGAAGGTTTCATCCTTTAGTGAGTGCTCTTGAGTAGTCATCAGCATTTGTAAACTTGACCAAGAACCATTCGTGTTCAAGTGCCTAAAGGTTGAATTGCCCAGTGTTTTTTCACAATGACTCACCACGGATACACTACGATTTAATCCCAGCTAGAGCTCAAGCATAAACTCTAGTCGGGTGCGGTATAGGGCAAGTGTGTTTTAATTGTCAAACCCGGGCCAGTCCATGTACACCAACTTCAATCGCTTAGTTTGTTATCTTGCAAACATTTTTGGGTTTAAAACTAAGAAAACTACAATGAAAACAAGCAAGTAAAGTAAATCGAGGTTGCCCAAATGAGAGAAGAGTTCACTCGGGTATTGCTCACCCTAACTACATATCAAGATTGCCCAAATCGAATGCAAATGTGTGGAGGTGTGTTAATACATAGTAGGAAGGCGCAACAAGTGAAGGAAACCTCACTCTCTTAATCAATCGGTTAAGGAAAACAATTAAGCTAGGAACCTTAGCTCTCTCAATAAATGGATTAAGGATTACTACAATAAACTAGGGAGTCTAGCTCTCTTAACCTTTCGTCTAAGGATTGCAACAATAAGCTAGGAGTCTTAGCTCTCTTAGCGGATAAAATTAAGGGTTGCAAGAACCAATCCCTCGTAACTTAATCTGGACGGCAAAGTAACACCTAAGTTAAAGTGCTAAATCGAAGATTCAGGTTTGCCCTAATTCGCCCTAGGAAGGTGGCTCAATTGGCCAAGGAATCCAACTTATCAAAGCTTCCTAACAAAAATGGGAATTCCCTCTACCTAGGTCAAATTGGCATAGTAATGAGAAATGAAGAACACAACCCAAACATCATGAAAATACCTCAAACTTTGCATTAAACACAAACCCACACACAAAGCATTCAATTAGTACAATCTATCATATATCTCAAGCTAGGGTTCACAATACCCAAGTGAATAGGTAGGCTATTCCATAACTAGGCAAGGGAAAACAAGAAAAAGGAGGGAAATAACCATGAAAAGATGAGTGTCTTCCTTCCTTGTTGCTAGAATCTCCCTTGAGAGGTAAGAATCTTCACTCCTCTAGCTTGAAATGAGCTCAATCTCCTTCTTCCTTCTTTGAATGTCACTTTATGCCTTAGAATAGGAAGAGGAAACTCTAATCTCAAACTAGAAACCTTCCTTTATTCTGAAAACTAAAACCCTAAAAGAAGCCCCCATTCTCCTTCAGCTCACTTCCCCTTTTATACCTAGATCAGGACTAGATCATGGTCCCAGTTCACAACCATGAACTCAAGGCGGGGATCGTGATCTCGGGCCAAAACGTGCCGCTTCACTAACTCAGTTCACAGTCATTGGCTTGAGTCCAGTGAGACAGAAAACTACTCTGGAACCTCTGTACTTCACGGACCGTGACAATTGCATCCAAACCGTGACTTCGGACTTTTCTTCACTTTTTCTTGCTTTCGACCTCCAATCGACCTGAAATTTGTCCTCGACCTTACCACATGTGCAACGACCTGAAATATGACAAAACAAGCACACCCTAGCGTAAAATAGGTCGAAAGACGATGAAATGCAAAGTCAAACTATTAAGAAATGAGGGGTAAAATGTTTGTATTTAGACCCGAATCACTCCCCCACACTTAGACGTTTACTTGTCCCCAAGCAAACCAATTCCAAACAAGGTAATATTTCAACCTAACAACAAAACTTGGGGAGAAACCAAAGGGCACACAATGGATGAATCTCAATGTTTATTTGGCATCAACAAATGAACCGTCACAAGTGATACCAACGCCCACCACCAATGACATTCGAATGCATTAAGAACATGCAAACAAAAAGTTCTCGCCCTATTCAAAAATCAATATAAGTCTTGACCGGACTACTCATCAACCACAACTAACCATGCATAGAACTCAAGTCCAAGGAACAAACGAAAGGGCGACAAGGGTTCTCACCGGACTAAGATATGAACATGTATAATGTGAATGAATCACTCACTCGCGACCAGTGGGGTCAGGACCTTTTTGGTGCAAAAGATGTGCACAATCATCAACACTCAGCCCTATCGGTTCACCACCACGGCGGCAACCTCTAAATGCTAGAGTTCACAGGGTGGTTGTCATCACTAGCTTGTCAGGAGGGCTTAGACACTGGTTCAAATGACTGGAAATTTTCTTGGACATGGGAAAAAAGCTTTTTGGGTGGTGGAAAACATAGCATGAGGTCTTATATCTCCAACCTAAAACCAAAGGTTCCGTGGTTTCGACTAAGAACATTTCCTACAATCAACGGCCACTAGCATTAGCCAAAAACCACACTTCCCTTCTTCCAAACCACTACCACTCACGGACTTCATTTAAGCACACTCCACGGTCTTTTCTTGCTATTCGCATTTCAAACCTAGTAGTGAAGGAGGTCATCAAACAATTTAGGTGTTTCAATGACTTGAGTGCCAAGAAACCCTTCTTTGAGCATACACTTAGAGTTTTTGTGGCCACTCTCTACTTTTATTTACCCCTTTTTATTACCTCTTTTTTGTTTCTTTTGTTTCTTTTGCTCTTTTTTTTCTTCGAGGGGGGGGGGGGGTGGGGTACTAGAGAGTACAACACATGCCACTTATCCTTAACCAAACAATGCTCTACATTAAGAACTTTCCTCCAACACTACCTTTTCATTTCTAGAAAGAATTGTGCAAAACCACCATGTAGAACCTCAATGGAGCTCAAAAGTGAGAACTCTGAGACACATGATGAGGGGCCATTCTATCAAATACCATTAAGCTCACAAGAAACAAGCTCCTAATCATGAGAACGACCCCTAAAGTCACACGGCTCAAAGGGGTTGACTAATGGATAATGTGTGTTGGGACAATCAAATTTTAGGCATGGACTAATTATATGCCTCCATCATACTCACTAGTGACAACGGTGAATGTTACACACCATAGCGAGAGGGATCTATCACACGAGGAAAAGACGATCGACACAAAACTCACATGGCTACCTAATCACCCAATCGTGTAATCCAATTACACAAATTTCAATGCATGGCAATTGTAATGAAGGAGTAATCAAGTCAAGACATCCATTCATTCGCACACATATGAGAAATAAACATTTGCACCAACCTAATGCAATTCTCAATCATCATAATAGGATGCACTCGATTACAAGTAAACAATCCAAGGTAAATGGCAAAAAAACAAGAGATCCTCCAACAATCGGCCACAACGAACATGAAATGCTTGGAGCCCTCACATTTTTAAAATTTGGGCATACATATGGGCCCCAAGCAATCAATCACACACACAAGCTTAATAGATAGACTACCCCTCCCCCCCCCCCCCCCCCCCCAAGACACACACACGTAAGCTTGACATTGCCCTCAATGGCGTAAAATAAGGGGTAGAGTGATGCTACCGCATAGCTTGCCAAGTGAAAGTCGGGACAGAATTGAACCAGAGATGAAAAGGAGAGCGCTTCAATGAGACAAAGACAAAAACAACCACACACATGCTCACGCAAGGCGAGTTTATTTCAAAATAATTTTACATAACATAAAAGTAAAAACAAACCTACATTGGGTCGCCTCCCAACAAGCGTTACATTTACATCATAAGCCTGACGGTTGCTCCTCAAGTTTTGATCCATCCGAGAACCGCCTTGAAGTTGAGTTTCTTGTCAGTGAGATGAAGTCTCAAGCCACGAGCATTGGACGAATCCATGATTGAGGGCTCGTGAACTTGGTAGACTTTAAGGCTCCGCCCACGAGACCTCTTCTTCTTCTTTCTCTTTGCCCCACACCATCTAGTCCATCATCGATTGACTTCCATTGCATCCGCCAAGAGGGAATGCCGATGGTTTGGCCTTGGCTTGGCAAAGAGCTGCAAATGGGTCCTTCTCCAAAAGTGCATCGAGGTCGGGTGGAAAGCTTTTGTAGCTCTTGTAACTTGTGGATGCTTCATCCACAACGGCCTGGTCCTCATATTGGACCCCACTTGCTCCTTCTACTTCTTCCACAACCTCCCTTCCTTCTACTTCTTTTTGTTCCTCCCCTTTGGAACAATCAAGATCTTCCTCCTCTTTAATGCTCACCTCCTCCTCCATAACTTTCCTTCTCGCCTTTTCCCGCTCTTCATCAAGCACAATATGGAGGGAAAGTTTCCAAGCAATTTCTTCAATATGCTCCTCTTGCATGTCCTCCTTGTGCGCAACTCTTCAAAGCTTGAAGTGAAAGACGGAAGATCGTGGTCTACCACCAAAGAACTTGATCGTTCAACATCATCTCGTGAGTTCTCTGGGATGAATTCTTCTTGCTCCCCAAAGTCCTCATGGATTGCCTCTTCAACTTTCTCTTCCTCTTCAATTGGCAAAAAACAATTGCGAGCAAGTTGTGCACATGCTTGCTCAACAATCGCTCCTAGCCTCTCAGAGTTCCAGAAGATCACATCTGATGTTTATAGGATGGAGGAGTCGATAGGGATGGTGGTTTCCACATTGGAGCATGCTTCACTATCCCGGGGTGAACCGCTCCACCATGAGCTCCAATTAGCTCTTCGGTTCTTGTTGTGGAAGGAATTCTTCTTGGGATGAGGAAGCTCCTTGATACCCCCATTGGTATGGTTGTTCTTCTTGGAAGGGGATTGGAAACAGAATCTGACCCTTGACTTCCCCCATTTTGATCGTCCCATGAAGCATTGAGGTACCCACTCTCGGGTGGTGGTGGATACCCCCACACTTGGGTGAAATCATAAGAGTCCATGATTCAAAACCTACAAACAACAAAAACACAAAAACAAAATCAAACAAATACAAACCACCCTTTAAGATGAAGAATGGGTGGACAAACACAAAACGATAAAACACAACACGAATCAAAAGACAAGAGAGAAAATGCTAGAGTAACTCTAAGTGACTATTACAAAATAATGGACCGTTGTTCCCCAGAAACAGCGCCAAAAACTTGACTCACCAGGAATACACCGGGATTTAATCCTGGATAGAGGTCAAGCATAAACTCTAGCCAAGTGCTGTATAGGGCAAGTGTGTTTTAATTGTCAAACCCAGGTCGGTCTATGTACCCCTACTTCAATCGCTTAGTTTGTTATCTAGCAAACGTTTTTGGGTTTAAAACTAAGAAAACTACAAATGAAAACACGCAAGTAAAGTAAATCGAGGTTGTCCCAATGAGAGAAGAGTTCACTCGGGTATTGCTCCCCCTAGCTACATATCAGGATCGCCCAAATCAAATGCAAATGTGTGGAGGTGTGTTAATACACTGTAGGAAGGCGCACTAAGTGAAGGAAATATCACTCTCTTAATCAATCGGTTAAGGAAAACAATTAAGGTAGGAACCTTAGCTCTCTCAACCAATGGATTAAGGATTGCTACAATAAAATAGACCTCACTTAACCTTTTGGCTAAGGATTGCAACAATAAGCTAGCAGTCCTAGCTCTCTTAACCGATAAAACGAAGGGTTGCAAGAACCAATCCCTCGGAACTTAATCCGGACGGCAAAGTAACACCCAACTTAAAGTGCTAAATCGAAATTGAGGTTTGCCCTAATTCTCTTTAGGTAGGTGGCTCAATTAGCCAAGGAATCTAACTTATCAATGCCTCCTAACAAAAAGGGAAACTCCCTCTAACTAGGTCAAATTGGAATAGTAATGAGAAATGAAGAACACAACCGAAAAATCATGAAAATATCTCAAACTTTGCTTTAAACACAAACCAACACACAAAGCATTCAATTAATACAATCTATCACATATCTCAAGATAGAGTTCACAACACCCAAGCGAATAGGTAAGCTATTCCATAGCTAGGCAAGGGAAAACAAGAAAAAGGACAGAAAGAACCATGAAAAGATGAGTGAATTCCTTCCTTGTTGCATTAATCTCCCTTGAGAGGTAAGAATCTTCACTCCTCTATCTTGAAATGAGCACAATCTTCTTCTTCCTCCTTTGAATGGCACTTTCTCTCTCTAGAATAGGAAGAGGAAACCCTCCTTAATTCTGAAAACTAAAACCCTCAAAAAAGGCCCCTTTCTCCTTCAGCTCACTTCCCCCTTTTATACTCAGATCGGGCTCAGATCACGGTCCCACTTCACGAACGTGAACTCAAGGCGGGGACCGTGATCTCGGGTCAAAACGCGCTGCTCACTAACTCAGTTCACGGTCATTGGCTTGAATTCATGGTCTTACGACCGTGGACTGGCTTGAGTCTAGTGAGACGAAAACTGCTCTGGAACCACCGCAATTCATAGACAGTGACAATTGCGTCCAAACTGTGACTTTGGACTTTTCTTCACTTTTTCTTGCTTTTCGACCTCCAATCGACCTGAAACTTGTCCTCGACTTCCCACACGTGCCAGGACCTGAAATATGGCAAAACAAGGACACCCTAGCGTAAAATAGGTCGAGAGACGATGAAATGCAAAGTCAAACTATCAAGAAATGAGGGGGAAAATGTGTGCATTTAGACCCGAATCATTCCCCCACACTTAGACATTTGCTTGTCCCCAAGCAAACCAATTCCAAACAAGGTAATATTTCAAACTAACAAGAAAACTTGGAGACAAATCTAAGGGCACACAATGGATGAATCTCAATTTTTATTTGGCATCAACAATGAATCGTCACAAGCAATACCGGCACCCACCATAAACGAAATTTGAATGCATTAAGAACGTGCAAACAAAAAGTTCCCACCCTATTCACAAATCAATACAAGTCTTGACCGGACTACTCATCAACCACAACTAACCATGCATAGAACTCAAGTCCAAGGAACAAAAAAAAAAGGGCGACAAGGGTTCTCACCGGGATAAGATATGAACATGCATAATGTGAATGAATCACTCACTCTCGACCAGTGGGGTCAGTACCTTTTTAGTCCAAAAGATGTTCACAATCATTAACACTCAACCCTATCATCTCTCCACCACGACGGTAACCTCTAAATTCAAGAGTTCACGGGGTGGTTGTAATCACTAGCTTGTCCGGAGGTCTTAGATCTTCAACCTAAAACCAAAGGTTCCATGGTTTCGACTAAGAACCTTCCCTACAATCAACAGCCACTAGCATCAGCCAAAAACCACACTTCCCTTCTTCCAAACCACTACCAATCATGAACTTCATTCAAGCACACTCCTCGGTCTCTTCTTGCTATTCATATTTCAAACCTAGTAGTGAAGGAGGTCATCAAACAATTTTGGTGTTTCAATGGCTTGAGTGCCAACAAACCCTTGTTGGAGCATAGACTTAGAGTTTTTGTGGCCACTCTCTACTTTTATTTATCCCGTTTTATTACCTCTTTTTCGTTTCTTTTCGTTTCTTTTGCTCTTTCTTTCTTCGAGGGGGGTACTAGAGAGTACAACAGATGCCACTTATCCTTAACTAAACAATGCTCTACATTAAGAACTTTCCTCCAACACTACCTTTTCATTTCTAGCAAGAATTGTGCAAAACCACCCATGTAGAACCTCAATGGAGCTAAAAAGCGAGAACTCCGAGACACATGATGAGGGGTCGTTCTATCAAATACCATTAAGCTCACAAGCAACAAGCTCCTAATCATTAGAACGACCCTTAAAGTCACACGGCTCAAAGGGGTTGACTTAGGGATAAAGTGTTTCGGGACAATCAACTTTTGGGTGTGGATTAATCCTATGCCTTCATCATACTCACTAGTGACATCGGTAAATGTTACACACCATGGAGAGAGGGATCTATCACACGAGAAAAATACGATCTACAGAAAACTCACATGGCTATCTAATCACCCAATCGTCTAATCCCATTTCACAAAATATAATGCATGGCAATTGTAATGAAGGAGTAATCAAGTCAAGACATCCATTCATTCGCACACATATGAGAACTAAACATTTGCACCAACCTAATGCAATTCTCAATCATCATAATAGGATGCACTTGATCACAAGTTAACAATCCAGGGTCAATGCCAATAAACAAGAGATCCTCCAAGAAGCTTAATAGATAGAATACCCCCCACCCCCACCCCACCCCCCCACACACACACTTAAGCTCGACATTGCCCTCAATGGCTTAAAATAAGGGTTAGAGAGATGTTTCCGCATACCTTGGCGAGTGAAAGTCGGGGACCAAATTGAACCAGATATGAAAAGGATAGAGCTTCAATGAGACAAAGACAAAAACAAACACACACATGCTCTCACAAGGCGAGGTTATTGCAAAATAATATTACTTAATATAAAAATAAACACAAACCTATGTTGGATGCGCTACTTTTACGTCATAACCTAGACAGTTGCTCCTCAAGTTTATGGTCCATTCGAGAACCTCCTTGAAGTTGAGGTTTTCGTCGGTGAGATGAAGTCACAAGCCAAGAGCATTGGACGAATCCATGATTGAGGCCTCGTGAACTTGATAGAGTTTGAGGCTCCGCCCACAAGACCTCTTTTTCTTCTTTTCTTCTTCTTTCTCTTTTCGTGACACCATGTAGTCCATCGTTGATTGACTTCCATCGCATCCGCCAAGAGGGTTCGCCGACGGTTTGGCCTTGGCTTGACAAAGAGCCGTAAATGGGTCCTTCTCCAAAAGTGCATCGAGGTCGTGTGGAAAGCTTTCTTAGCTCTTGTAACTTGTGGATACTTCATCCACAACGACCTGGTGCTCATCTTGGAACCCACTTGCTCCTTCTACTTCTTTTTGTTCCTCCCCTTGGGAACAATCAAGATCTTCCTCCTCTTCAATGCTCACCTCCTCCTCCACAACCTTCCTTCTTGCCTTTTCCCGCTCTTCTTCAAGCACACAATGGAGGGCAAGTTTCCAAGAAATTTCTTCAATATTATCCTCATGCTTCTCCTCCTTGTGCACAACTCTTTAAAGCTTGAAGTGGAAGAAGCAAGAACGTGGTCTACGACCAAAGAATTTGATCCCTCAAAATCATCTCGGGAGCTCTCCGAGATTAGTTCTTCTTGCTCCCCAAAGTCCTCATGGATCGCCTCGTGGAATTTCTCGTCTTCTTTAATTGGCAAGAAACAATTGCGAGCAAGTTGTGCACATGCATGCTCAACAATGGCTTCTAGCCTTTCAGAGTTCTAGAAGATTACATTCGATGTTTGTAGGAAGGAGGAGTCGATAGGGATAGTGGTTTATACATTGGAGCATGCTTCGGTATCCCGGTGTGAACTGATCCACCATGAGCATGTCTTCCGGATGAACATAGACGAATCATTCTGACTCTGTAGAAAACCAGCCTGAATAATCGTTCCATGAAACTTTTCGAACCATATTCGTGGTGCCTGTTTTAAGCCATAAAACGAGCGTCACAGTCTACACACCATTGCTGGTCCACCCTTAGTGTATCCCTCTGGGAACTCCATGTAGATCGTCTCTTTAAGATCGCCATGCAAAAATGCATTTTTCACATCAAACTGTATA